GTGCTTATAGGTGCCTCAAAAGGCCACACCAGAAACTGAGGCCAGTTGCCTCCAGTGTGAGTCTCAGCAAGGAGCACCTGACTCGCTGAGGATATACCTGGATGTGGCATGGGTGGGGCCGTGAGTTGGAGGAGGCAGAGTTTCAGGGAATCCTCTGGGTGGAGGGACCTCTGTTATCCAGTTTGATGACATCAGCGCTATGGCTGCCTTGTGTCCCGCGCATTGGGAGGGGGGAGGCCTCAACAGGGAACAATGGATACTAGCAGCACTTCTGTACCAAACAAGTCTTGCCTCGGCCCTTACTCCAACAGTATCTCCTTGTAAGTCCCTGGTGCCTCCTGAGTGCAGCCGAATCGGCACTGGTGCTCAGAGTGACCAGATCTGTCACCACAAAAATCCGCTCGCAGACGCAGCCCCTTTAAGAAGCTTCTGCCACTACCGCAGCTTCACTCAGCAGCTCAGGACCAAGCAAACCCCTCGTTCTGGCCCCGTCCTACCTTCTGCCGTTGCAGGGTGATTTCTTAGATTTCTTCCTAGTTGTATGGCTTGTTCATCAAGATCCCAGGCGATTTTTCCTTGCTGCTACTCCTTGTTTCTGTCACAACTTTGATTTGGTCGCCAGAGGGCTGAACAGAGCCTCTATCATCTACACCATTTTTTTTCTCTCTATTATGAACTCTTTATAATTCTATGATAAAAAGAGAATCCATTTAAATAAATCACATATTCATATTCATTAAGTGTACTGAATACCCATTTTTGTATACATCTTGTTAGAACCATGCTTGTGTAAAACAAAGCACACTTTTGTATCATAACCAGTGTTTTAACCAAGTAATTACTTTTGAGTGGTGAATTTTATGAAACTGAGCATAGCTATTTAGCAGTTTGTTTTGTTTTCTATATTTTAATATTTAAACCACTCCTATAAGTCATTTACTGCAATTTGAATGCTACCCATGTGGTAGGTAGAGAAACAATGTACTTTATTGTCTCTTTATACTTTATAGGACTCTTAAGATTGAAAGGTTGTATTGTTATTTACCCATGTGCGAGAACCAGCACATGTGGCCATCCTGTGTGTAGGTGACCATATATTATTAGTTCTTTGGCATCTTAGGATGGATTTGTATTGACAAAATGAAATGTGATGGAAGATAGTACTTTTTTAATTTAGTATCTCTTCCTGTATTTTCATTAATGATGTGGTATCAACATTACTGGTTATTTTTGAGTGTTTTTATAAATCCTTAAGAGTTTCTTATCAAAAAATAAAAACAAAGTTTTGAACCAAAACATTGAATGGCAATTTAGTTATCTCTTCTTCAGACTTGATCAAGTCATGTTCCTGTAACTTTTAACCTATAGGTTATATTTTCCTATTTGTAAGTTATTTCGATGTGTTTTGTTTGGATATTTTCTAGCAAAAAGATTTTCCTTATAGAGTAGTTTTAAGACATAAATGTGAAGTTCTTAGCCTAGTACATGGCATATAGTGAATACTCAAATGGTTGTTAATAAGAACAAGGAAAATATGGTGAAAATAGTGCTATAATTTACTTAGATGTAACTTAAAGTTCCAATTTAGTCACAAATCTTAGTATTTTTCATTATTTTCTTTTCCGAGATAAAGTATAGTCTAAAGTAAAATTTGAAACATTCATGGGTTAGAGGTAACTAAAAATAGAACATTAGTAATAAAAAAGTAATTTATCAAGTTGTAGCTATATCTTTTCCCATCCTTTATTTCTCGACTCTTCAAATGCCCCCTCTTAATGGACCTACATTCTTTTTGTGCCCATTACCGTTATGCTACCCAGTCAGCTGCTCAGTCTTTATAGGGCAAGATTGGAACCTGCTTGGGGCCATTTATAGCTGATGGTCTGTGTAGGCATAATTGTGAGTGCTCAATTTTATTCAAACTTAAAAATTCAGTTCCTACCAGTTATTTGGAAAGTGTAGTTTTGATCTTCATGAGCTCCTCAAAGATAGGAACTCCATTCTGTTCATCTTTGAATTCTCAGTGCCTGGCACATAGCAAATGAATGAATGAATGAATGCATGTCTTTTGTTTCTCTTTCTCCTTTCTTCCTTCCATTTTTTCCCTGGCCTGGCCAGTCAGTAAAACTTCTAGTCTTGTCTTATGGGAATGGAGAATTTTATATTTACTCTGAATTAAAAAGCAAAGTAAAAGCATCAAGGGGGTGGAATGTGTCTTTATCTTTCTACTAAACAAAAGAAAATTACTTTTACCTGCATGTACCTCAATTTATTTTTTTCTTCATCTTTGTTATAATTAGCCTTTGATAGAAAGGTTTCTTACTTTTCTTCTAAATGGTTTCATTTTACTCTCCATATTTCTTGATTTATTTTTCCAAAATTTTTATGCTTATGAAATCAAGAGAACTGACATACAGACATCAGAACCTCTTATAATTATCTAGTAAGGGAATTAGGATAGCTTAGTAACTAAGAAAATGTTTTATTTCTTTGGAGAAAACTACGTGTAGCTTTATTACGTTTGTTTAAATTGTAGTATCCTAGTAAAGGAGTACCTTAATTGCCTTTATTCCCAACATATTGTACTCTAAACCTAGTTCTTTCAATTATGACATACCCTTATTCCTGCTTCTCAAAGTATACTAGTATGTTGTCAGAATTACTCCCCACCCCAACAACCAAACAAAACAAAGGCAACTGTCTAGTTTGTTTTCTGCCAGACCACTCTTTCATAACCTGACTCTTTATTTGCTGCAGGATATATGTTGACTTAATAATGTTTCTGTGAAAGGGAACCATAACTTTTTATCCTGCTTATTAAAATGGATGTGATTGTGTGTGTTTTCCCATCAGGGTAATGTGGCAGTCCGTGAATTAGTCTTAAATGAAAATGTTGCACAGAAGTGACACTTCCCTTTAGTTATGCTCATTAAATTAAGTAAACACAAAAACGTATATGCACAAAATACCATTATCTGCCAAGAAAATAAGTTTGTTAGCTGCATATTGGCTTTTCCCCTCCCTCCCTTGGTGTTGAGCTAAATCCTACTTCAGAACTCTAGATTGTCTTTGAGTATCAGTGCTTCATTTGTCCTTTTGGCCTTTGCAAACTCCCCCAACCTTCCACCCGCCTACGCACACACAAGTATTACTATTTCATTTTGAATGAATAGACAGCATTGTCAAACATGGCATTTGAGCTGCCCACCTGCAAATCATTGATTTAGTATTGGCTGATTTTTTTTTTCAGTCTGTCCAAGTTAGGCAGTGATTTTATCTTTGTCAGCAGTGTTGTTAATATTTTGGGCTTATTTCTCAGTGAGGACTTTAGTGGTGAATTAAAACATAGTTTTAAATTTCTTTGGGTTTAATTTTTTTCGTTGTTCCTTTAGAGTTAGATTTTTACCAGTTCTGTAGGGGAAAAACTAGACTGTCTAGATAGAAAAATGCATTATAACTAACTTAGGCTGGCTACAATTTCATAATAAGTACTTCGATTAGGTTTAAGATGCTTTGGTTTGTGATAATGAGGTTGAGAAAATAGTTGGCTTATAAAATTAACATTTAAAACTCATGAATGTCACAAATGATTTGAAGGTTAGAAATATAGATGAAATTTAAAAATGTTAATTGGTAATACTGGCTATATTTAAAACTGACATATGTGTAAATAGTAAGGAAATAATTCACAACCATGTGCAAGTTAATTTTTTCAAATTAGAAACTAAATTGTGACAGCCTAATCGTAACCTTTTACATTTCATTTATAGTTTTTTTTTAAATTTTAGTTTCAGTCTGATGGAAGCAAACAAGAAGATAAAGAGAAAACGGTAAGAGACTACAAAAATCCAATGTGTCTAATGTTTGTCTGGGTACAGCGTACTGCAAATTTTAGTGTGGACAAGCTTTAGTCACCTGTGTGAATAATTATTTTATCTGTTACATGCTGAATATAGCTTTGGCATATTATACATTATCTTTTAAGATTGACAGCCTCCTGCTTTTTGAGGATTACCATGTTGAAAAGGGAGGAGGGATAATAAAAGTCCCTCATTCTCTTGCTGCCCCTTTCCTTCCCTCTCCTCATTTGCTTTTTTAGATAGAGAAACACAAATAACTATTGTGAAAAGGACAGTGATAGTGTGAGGAATTAGACATGGTGTGTTATGAGATCACTGAATGGCAATTTTTCCAAGGCTGACATAAATTTATTTAGAGAGTGGATTAATGTGGACTGCTTACTGAAATAATTTTTCCTCCATTCTTCTTAGGAAGTTATCCTTAGCTGTTTGCTTAGCATTACTGACCAGGTACTACTTCCATCTCTTTCTTTGATGGACTGCAATGCTTGTATGTCTGAGGAACTATGGGGAATGTTTAAAACATTTCCATATCAGCACAGGTAAATATATAATATTTTTGTATTTTGAAGTACTGTTCTAGTGTATTAACCTCTAAGTGGTTAACTTTTCCTAATTCTTCATCTCATCATTTTTTAAGATATCGTCTGTATGGCCAATGGAAGAATGAAACTTATAACAGTCACCCACTTTTAGTAAAAGTTAAAGCTCAAACAATAGACAGAGCCAAATATATCATGAAGTAAGTTTTAAGTTTTTTCTTCATATTAATCTAAAGTATTTCTGGATCTAATTTACTTTCTTTCAGCCAGCCTATGTCTGAGCCTCAATTTTGAGGAAACCCAAGAATATTTGCTAATAGTATAGCTGATTATATACTACAGATAGAATGACTATCAATTTTTGTGGTTTTTAGCTCATTTGACTACAAGTTAGTTTTTGTAGTTGTCATATTTGCATAGCTATGAAATCTTATAAAAATCCTCTTTAATGCATCATATTATAGGATAAGTTTTCTTAAAAAGGACAAGCTACTGTGGTCTTTGCTCAATTTGCAGAATACATTTAATGGCTTGTACAAGATAGTCAAAATTCTAGGAATTTCCTCTGCTGAAAGTTATTGTAATAAAGATTTTTTTTCTTTTTGGAAGATGCAGAACTATCTCCATAGGGTCAACTTTAGAAAAATTTCGATTTTTTTTTCATTTGTGTGCTTTATTTTCATGTCATTAAAAACACGAGTGATGGTTTTTACTTCTTGGTAAAATGTTTGAAGTTTAATTACGAAAATTATATACTTCAATGTATTGGTTTAGATACTAAATATGCTGCTGTATTGCAAGTGTTTTCAGCAAGGCTATTATCATTTCTTTAACATTCATGCAATGGTATGGTTATTCTAACTAAAAGTAGTACATTTCCTAGTTTAACTAGGTTTCACAGTTTGCAACATCACTGTCTTTGCCTAGTGATATTGTTCCTGGTCACAGTCTACCGGGAAACAGGTATGTGCACAATCACAGTCTCTTTTAATAGGTGCTGTTATACAGTGTATATGAAGTTTTATGGGAGGATAGAGAAGAGAGTGAATTATTTACCCTATGGAAGTTGGGGAAAGCATGGAAGGAGATATTAAAACTGATTCTTCTGAAAGAGTTCTGGTCTTAAGAATTCCCCAGGTAGCGTTTCTAGCTTAACAACAAGAGCTAGTATTTATGGAGCCATTACTGTGTGTGCCAGACACTGAAGTGCTTTATATGGATTATTTAATATATTAAATATTAAATCTCTTGAATCTGTCTCTTCTATTCTTTATTGCTGTTAATTTAGTTCTTTTATCTGGAGTATTGTAGTGCCTCGTATTATCCTCTTTCTTTACAGTTCTTTGGTGACTAGCCGTTGCCTACAAGTTATATGTCAAATTTTATGGTATAGTGATGTAAGAGACCCTCCATGACCTGTCCCTCCCTATTTCCAACTTAATTTCCTGCCAACTCTACCTCCACCTGTACTAAGCCCACTTATGTTTCCCTGAATGTGCTATGGTCTCCTTTTCCTTTGCATATGTTTTCTTTGTTTGTTTGTTTTTTTCCTTACTGCTTTTCTCTCTCTGGAGACCTCATGCTCAGAGTGTGGGCTTTAATGTTACCTCTTCTGTATAGCGTTTTGTAGCACATATTGCCAAGCATAATTGGTGGTTCTTTATTTGTACCACCACTGTCCCATATGCATATAGTGCTATCACACCCCTTGGATACATTACTATGTTTGTTTTTATTTTCTTAATCATCTAATTTCTGAATAGTTTTACATGATTTAAATTTCAGTAAATATAAAAAGGTCGACAGTAAAAAAGTCTCTCACCCCATTCCTCTGTCCACTCAGTCCTCCCAAAGGAAAAAAAAAAAGTAGCCACTGTTTAGTTTCTTATTTATTCTTCCAGATACTTTTATAGATATACAAAGGAATACAAATATATTTCCCCTTTTTACACTATTGATAGCATACAATAAGTACCGTTCCGTAATTTGCTCTATTTGTTTAAGAATATAAACATTTAATAAATGATTTTAAATCTGTCTTTCCAGCTGGACTGAATGTGAGGGCAGGAGCTGTTATTCATCTTTTTTTCCCTTTTTTTCTTAGCACTTTGCCTGTCACAGAATATGTGCAGAATTTTTTAAGTACTTGGATTTTTGTTATATTTTTAAGTTATAACTATTTCACCAGGCTTGAACAATATGATTTTGATATTGATTGAACATTTTATGTTGAGAATGGAATGTAGTAATTTACTACTTGCAGAATCTCACAAGTTTTGGTTACTGTTTAAAACATGAGTTTGGTATAGGGCAGCCAATAATTCATTCTACTAATACTCACGGATTGTATTCCATGTGCCAGACACTATGGTATCTTGAGGGGAAGGCATAATCAAGAAAGTATTCCTTTTATTTTTGTTTGTTTTTTTCCTTCTTGGTGGTGAAGGCAAAAGAGAACAGGATAAAAAGTGTAGAGAGGAAGGGTTAGCTTTGGAAAGTAGGAGGGCCACCTGAAATAGTAGGGTTGGAAATAGGGACAAGTGGTGGTAAGTTTGAAGATGAAATGGAGTATAGCCAAGTTTGAAACTGATAGGTGTCTCTTCTGGTGAGGGAGACTGGGCCAAGGTGAATGGAAAGACAAAGCAGTCAATGATGGAATAATTTTGATTGATGGGTCAGTTTTTTTCATAAGAAACTTCTTAAGACAATTATATCAATTTCTCACTTCCAGAGTGGTCAATTCCTTTAGCTATCAGCTGAATTTGTTATTTGCTTCATTATATTTTCATTCTAGAAAGCTTCCTGTCACTTCTAAGCTTTTCAAGTTTCAATTTTCTATATTTATTATGTAATAATTTCATCAGAAGAGTTTAAGATGCTTTACTATTGTTTTAAATTGTAGGCATTCATAGATAAAAATTTCCAGATTGTTAGTAAAAGAATACTGAGCAGAGGAAGATAAAGAGGAAAGAAAGGAGTAGGATTGATTTTTCAAAAATTGTTTACTTTAAATATGAAAACCAGAGAACTTCCCGTATCAAGGAGTATAGCATTAGCTATTATTCTGTTAGGGTCACTGAGACAGATGGCATGAGGCATTTATTTCATTGCATTAAACTAAATTGGTTGGATATCTTAATTCCTAAATTAATAAATGAGCCCTTCTAAATCTAGAATAACTATGATTCTCTATAAGAAGAGTTTTATCTACTTGTAGAGTACATTAAGAGTTTTAATGCTTTATTAGACTTTACTCTAAAATGGAAATGTATATATTATAAATATTAAGTATTAATCCAAAATCTTAATACCCTCTGGGAGAATGCCTAGTCAAAATATCCCAAGTCCTACATTAAAATCTGTGATGAATGTGGTCATTTACATGGATCCATTTTGAATATTTGGGTAGGAATTGTTGTTTTCATGATGTAACAAAGCTATTATGAAGGAAATTACTTAAGATGATCCCTGTCACCTTTTCTTCTCCCCCTGTAGGCGTCTAACCAAGGAAAATGTAAAGCCTTCTGGAAGACAAATTGGGAAGTTGAGCCACAGCAATCCAACCATTTTGTTTGATTATGTATGTTTTGAGGTTAATATTATTTTAAGGGATTTTTCTTTTTGTTCTTTTTAAGTCAGCACAAGTGGAAATGAAATGATGTAGTTTTAAAAATGGTAGTTTTATGGAAAAAAACCTTTAGCAAATGAAATATTGTATGGCTATTCTAATGACAAAACTTAGCATATAATATTTAATACATTGATTTACTTTCTAGTAATATTTAACAATGCTGCTGTTATAAACAATCTAACATTATCTTGTTTACCACATTTTGACTTAGAAACATTAATAGATTCATTATTTGATTTTAGTTGTTAGAAACATTTGAATAACATTTCATTGTGATTTAGATGTAATACTTCCATTATTTAGAAAGAGATTTCTAAAACACACTTGACATGAGATTAGCTTTTATAATTCCAAAATTCAGCTTTAGATACCCCGGAATGACAATTTCTAATTGGAAAATGTAGCCTAGGAAAATATTTTCTAAGGAACTAATAGGCTAGTAGGTTTTATGCAAATATAAAATGAAAGGAAACTACTTTTGAAAAATGAAAAGTATAGCCATTATTTAGTTAGCACAGTAGTTCTCTTTTGATTAGTTAATACTGTCTCTTCTTTGTTGCTGTCTTCCAGATCTTGTCACAAATACAGAAGTATGATAACTTAATAACACCTGTAGTAGATTCACTGAAATACCTCACTTCATTGAATTATGATGTCTTGGCCTGTATCCTTTCAAGTGAAGTAGTACGTACATTTCACATTTCATAGATACTAATGGTGAATGTTTTACTTTCATTCTAAGTTCCTTTTGTAACCATCTGAGGGTGATTCAGTTGGCTGATCTGAAGGTTGGCCAGTCAGGAATTTGTGTGCGTATTTGTGTTGTATACAGGGAGAGACAATGTTACATTTATCAAACATTTTGATATAGGTAGAATCTGTTTTGCTTGCTGAAAGATGGAAAAGAAGCTAAAGAAGGAAAGTTGGTATCATAGTGAGTGTATTTTTCAATACTTTGTAATAACTTGAAGCTAACAATTTAATTTTTTTTCCAAGATGTAGCTTTTTTTGTTGTTGTTTTAAGGGTCTTTGTTAGAAATATAGTGACTTAAAATTTTTTCTAAATGTATGAAAGATTGTATCATTGAAGCTTTAGCTAATCCAGAAAAGGAGAGAATGAAACATGATGACACAACCATCTCAAGCTGGCTTCAAAGTAAGTATTTTTCCAAGGATGAAATTTCCATCTGTTGTAACAACCATGCTGTGTATTCTGTTATCTGCGCTAAGAGTCTGTTGGCAAGAGCTCTTGAAAATCTCTAGTCTCTCAGCTTTTTCTGCAGAGTGTTTGTTTAAGTTCTTGGCTGTGTAAGGAGGTTCATATAGTACTTATTCATTTTCCAACTCAAGAGGCCAGTATCGGCTATGATAGAATTTGGGCAAGTATTACTGGGGAGATAAAAATTCTTTCTATTATTTTAGAAGAATTAATTTTAAGGGAACTATTCTCCCTTCTTTCATTTCCATCCTGAGGTTCCAGTGTTCTTAAAAGAATAAACATTGGTTGTTTAATAAAAAACAAACAAAAAAACCCAGCCTTTAAAAAAAAATTCTTGTACCTTTGATTTCTAGTAGCCAGTTCCTTTTCCTTTCAACCTATTGTGTGTGATAGCTGAACTTTGCAATAACTCTCCATTGCCCTTTAAAGTCTGAAATCTGTAATGTCATACACGTAAGTTCTTTGGGAATCAGGTTCTTACTCACTGTACTAGCCTCATCTTTTGCCCCTCCTCCATATTCTAGGTTCCATTAATACTGAATTTCTTACACTTTCCATGGCCCATTTGCACATTATTCCCTCTACTTGGAATACCCTTCCATACCAACTCCTCTCCTCCATCATATCTTAAGATTTCAGCTTAGAGGTAACATTCTTCAGAAAGCTTTCCCTATTAACATTCCCACCCAAAAGTCAGTTAGGTGCCCCTCTTTGTACTCCTATGGAACTTTTTATTCATCATAGTTATTTCAGTTTACTTTTCTGTATCCCTCACTAAACCATAAGGTCCTTGAGGGCAGGACCTGTGTTTTGTCCATTATCCTTTAGGTGCTCAGCAAATAATTGTCAAAAAGACTACAGATAATTTGACTTTACTAGGATCTCCTCCTCTTGAGTTGGCTGGATTTTCTATCTACTCATGATGTGATAAGGACTATTGGTTAAGATGGTCTTTTGTTTGCTTCTTGGTCTAGCAATGCTTTACCTGTTTCCTTGCCCTTCTACAACTAGTAGCATGTTTCTAGATAAAAAGAGATTTTTTTCTTGACACAGACATTTGAGGGGCAGGTGTTTCGTTGGTCATTTATTTACTGAGTGATCCCCAAGATTTTGTTGTGGCCTAATTAATGTCATAGGCTCTGGAATCAGGCCATATAGATTTGAATCACTGCTCTACCTCATATCAACTATGTGACCTTGAGCAAGTTACATGTTCTAAATTTTCATCATTAATAGATTTATATGAACCTGAGATGATTATTGTAAACATTAAATGAGGTAGTTACATAAAGTACTTAGTATAGTGTTTGGCATATATATGCCCAATAAATATTATCAGTTATAAAGTTCCATTAAGTAGCATCAGCAATATAATGATTCCTACCTCATTTTGTTTTAGAAATTTAGTGGAAGAAATGACACTTAATATTGTATTTTTTGTTTTATGAATTGTTTTTAAAAAGTCATTTTATTTTTAAATTTCATATAGGTCTGGCTAGTTTCTGTGGTGCAGTTTTTCGTAAATATCCAATTGATCTTGCTGGTCTTCTTCAATATGTGGCTAATCAGCTAAAGGCAGGCAAAAGGTATTTATAGCAAATTATATGTAAATGATATTGAATAAAGTACTTCTGGTGATAATGGGATATTAAATTGCTATTATCCTGAAAAACTATTTGTTGATTGTAGGCTTAAGTAGAATAGTTCTTCACTTATTTATGTGGAATTCTTTAATTAAAAGAAATTATAATTTAATACACAAACACTTCTTTTGCAGAATGAAATTAATGTTTGGCTATATATGTAACTCTAAAAAGACTAACTCATTTTGACTACCTGTTAAGCTTTTGAATAAATGGTTAATATGGTATATTGTAAATCCTCTTATGACAAAAGATATTTCAGTATTGACTATGCTACTGGACAGTAATTGGCCTTTGCATTAAACATTTGGTAGGAACATGTTTATTTTTAGGAATTCTTTTTGGAATTTGAGCTTCAGACATAAAGCTTACATATGTTTTGGCCAGTGTCACCTTTTCTTTATAAATACTTTTATTATTCTGGACCAATATCAGTAATTCTTGACATTTTTATTTTGATTTAGAGAAAACTTTAAAAAATAATATTTAGACTCAGGATTTTATCCACATATCACTTACTCTATGCTCATCTATCAGTCATTCCTATACATTTTACTCTTCTGTGGCTATAGGCCAGGAGAGCATGTTCTTTTTAAATCTATGCCAGTTTTCTGTACCGTGAATAGTTTTTGTGACCATCTAATTAAAAGATAGTTTAAAGAAAAATTAAAATATTTCATTGGTACTTATTGTGTACTAATTTCTGTGAGGGTTTTTTTTTTTTCTTCAAAAACCGTTTAGGGAAGACAAGGCCAGTTGAGAGAATAAACATTAAGAATCTTAGAAAACTGTTCCTTTGTCTATTAACTCATGTCTTGGGTATGTCTAGCTTTACCATTGGGAAAACATCTATATTTGTTTGGAGGAAAGAATGCTTTCACTTTATCTTCATTACTTAACTAAAGAAGATTTTGGAAGTCATAAGTGTTATTTCCATTGACAGTCCTAAACTTTGAGAATTAAAATGTATAACTGTTGGCACAGTAATAAATTGCTTAAGGCTGGCCACTAAACTGTCATCTTAGGCTCAAACACCATAACTTGGAACTTCCATTCCCTTCCTTTTTTTTCTCCCTCCCTCCCAAGTGTGCATGATTGTTTAGAGAATTGACTCTATTACCATTAAAATATATATTGGCCATCCTGTACTGGAAGACATTATTGGGTCAGCTGATAAAAATGAAATATGAACTGTAGATTAGATAAAAGTATTGTATCAGTGTTAGATTTACTAAATTGATCTATGCTGTGGTTGATGTAAGAGAATAGTGGTTTTCTTAGGAAATGCACTCTTAGGAGATATGTTCTTAGGAATTCTAGGGCTAAAATGTACCCCTAAGATGATGTTGCTTACTAAATAAGTTACTCTCAAATAGTTCAAAAGTGTGTGTGTGTGTGTGTGTGTGTGTGTGTAGAGAGAGTGAGAGGCGAAGGAGAGAAAACAAATGATAAAATGAGAAATAGGAGTAAAATGTTAGGTGAAGTTGGGGTAAAGGATATACATTGGTGTGCTTTGTACTATTTTTATTTGTACTATTTTATGCTATCTGTGTATTTGAAATTATTTCCAAGTAAAAAGTTAAAATAAACATAAACATATTGCATGGCCCAAATATTTTTCAGTATAGTTCTAGGAATGCAGTTTTTCTTTAAAAACAGCTTCAGCCCCCTTCCTCTCATTTTTATATACAGATAATTTAGGGATTTTATTAATTATAATATATTGTCACTGTTATGTTGAAGTTTCAACTGTAGGCTGTTTCTTATTTTTTCTAAATAGTTTTGACTTGCTGATATTGAAAGAAGTGGTACAAAAAATGGCAGGAATAGAAATTACAGAAGAAATGACAATGGAGCAACTAGAGGCCATGACTGGTGGAGAGCAACTAAAAGCTGAGGTGAGAATTGCTATTTTTTTATTCACTTTTTAAATTCAAAGTGTATGCATGCTCACAGTATAAAGAATTCAAACAATATATAACTACATAAAGCCAAACATCAAAACCATGCACACCCTCCTCTCACTACCACCCCCAGCTCCCTTTTAAAAATTGAAATGTTAGTTATTTTAACCCTTTAAAAAAGCTGAAACAAAGTATAAAAGAATATTATTAATACATCTATAAGGGAAACAAATATCAAACCTTCTGTGGTCCTTGATATCCTGACTGACATAAATCTGAACATAGTTATTCTGTTGTTGAATCTGCTCCACACTGAATAAAGAATAATTGTTTATAAGAGACTGCAAGGTAGAAAATGTGAAATATGCAGAAGTTTCAAGACAATTGACAATTATCTTTAAACCATTGACTATAACCAGTATTAGCGTCACTAATGTAATTCTATCTTCAGGATTGTAAGTGAACTTTCTCTGTCTTCTTCAAATCAGATGGCATGTGTTATGTATTGTGCACTGGTAAATTAATATCTTCTCTTGTGCAGGGTGGTTATTTCGGCCAGATCAGAAACACTAAAAAATCTTCACAGAGATTAAAGGATGCACTATTAGACCATGATCTTGCTCTTCCTCTCTGTTTGCTTATGGCTCAGCAGAGGAATGGAGTAATTTTTCAGGAAGGTGGAGAGAAACATTTGAAACTTGTGGGAAAGCTCTATGATCAGGCAAGTTAAAGTGGCTTTCGCGTTTATATGGATTTTTTAAATCCTGATAATGGCAAACATAGAATATTATATAACTCGAAAAATGTCATTTTGCACATCATGTGAGTGTGAAACAGCTCTAATGTAAAATAGATATTCTGAAAATGTGGGCTATTTCTGTGTAAAATTATGATATTTAAGTGATGGCTATAGGAGATGTAATAATATGTATAAGGTTTTTAGTTGAGTAGATAGCTTCAAGTTGTTTGTTCTGTCTTTCCTGATCTCTGTAAATCTGGAATTTCAATCACAACAAAGTAGATTGATCTTTATTTGTAAAATATATTTATAAATATTAAGCACCAAAACCTGTGGGCGGCCTACAAAATGTGTTTATCACTGTGTTACAAGGAAAAATGATAACATATTTTATAAAGTTTTCATCTTTTAAGGGCAAGGAATTTGATTTTTATATACATAAAATTGTTGTACGTGACTTAGGTAACATTCTATTAAAGGTGATAAACAATAGCTTGGAACTTGAGGCCTGGTTGGTATTAAAGCCTTAGATTAGTCAACTTTTCAGGACCTCGGCATCTTTTTTGTAATATGATTATGTTTGTAGATTGTCTCTAAAGTTCTTTCAATTTGCAAAATTTGAATTCTTGTTAATCAGAATATTGTTAAAATGGCATCTTAATTATTTTGGAAAATGTATGTTTTTGTAAAATGATAGCACATCAGCATTTTTTGTCTTATTTTTTAAATTTAGTGTCATGACACCCTGGTACAGTTTGGTGGGTTTTTAGCATCTAATCTAAGCACAGAAGATTATATAAAGCGAGTGCCTTCAATTGATGTACTCTGTAACGAATTTCATACACCCCATGATGCAGCATTTTTCCTGTCTAGGCCAATGTATGCACATCATATTTCAGTAAGTATAAATATCTTTGCTGCCATTCAAGAATGATTCCAAACTACTTTAGCTGTTTTATTTGTAAATGCATTTTACTTTGACATAGATATGGATAGGTCTCTTGGAGAGTTAACTCTTTTGTTAATACTCAGCTCTGAGCAGTGTATAATGAAAATGCCCTCTTTAAAAGTAAGTCGTAACTAGTTCTATAATTTTACTGTTACTAGCCACCAGTTCAGGTTGATGTCTTATGGGCTTTCTAGAACTGTAGTTCTCAAACGTTAGTGTAGATGAGAATCACCAGGGAAGCATCTTAAAAACTTGATCCCATGTCCCTAAATTTTAATTTAGTAACTCGAATGGTACCTGGGAATTTGTTTCGTTTGCTTTTTAACAAGCACTAGATGATTCTGAAACAGGTAAATGTGGTATGTTATTCTGAGCAACACTCCTGTTGAATAAGGTCCTGTTTCCTCAATGACAATATTCCTGTCAGATAGTTGACTTGCTGTTATCATACTGCCTTGAAGGAAATACAGACAGAAAGACTTACCCAGTCCCAAATCTTCTAAAAACTCTATCGTCTCTGTTGTGCAACTTCTAGGAAAGGTGTATTTAGGGTTCTTGTTTTATTTCTCTCCACCTAAATGAAACAACTAAAAACAGAAAACAGCAACAACAAAAGCAATCTAGAGCCTTCTCAAGCAGGCTATTCCAGTGGTGACTGTATTCAAATTCAAGTAAGGGTGTGAAGGAAGAGGAAACAGCCCTCTGTCCTCTGTTCTGCCACCTAGACTTTTCCCTGCAAAGCAGTGACCTAATGGGAATTCACATTTCTTTTTCCCTCAGGGCCATGGTCAGTCCTCCACTTTGACTGGAGTTCCAGCATATTCTTCATTTTAGTGTAGACTTGGATTCTGGCCCTTCTGTTTATTTGTTGTTGTTTTTAAGTCTACTGTACAAGGCTTTCACTACAGATTTTGGGGAAGATCTTGGTCCTTATCTTAAATTAGGATCCCATTTTTGTTCCCAACTGGGATACAGGGCTCTGTAGTAGAGGCATGGAAAAAGTGCTGATCGATCATTTAAGGGACCATCAGCTTTTAGTGTTTACATATCAACTGCTATGGTCTCACACTTCCTTGTAACAATTAACTAAATGTTAATTGATGTAATTATCATGGTATTAGCATTATGATGCTATTTTGTGCTATACTCTCTGGAGGGTAAAGGGATAAGGGAAGTAAGATTAGGCCTTTTCTTCTCCTTTAGAATCTCTCAATCCAGAAAATTGTATGCTCTCTGCATAGTTATGTCTTGTGTTGTCGCCCCACCCCACAGTAGATCAGTCTCAGCTATACAACAGGGGACCTGATTTCTTGAAGGACTGAGGTGGGAGAATTTCTTCATCTCAGGAATTCTGACCTGCCCTGTGCTATACTGAGAAGAGAACACAGTAATCAGCGATATTGAACCCTAGCAAACAGGAACACCTGGTTGCCTGAGGTTGGCTGAACTTTTCCAGGTCAGAAAATGGAGCAGGTCATTCATACCAATAGCTACCTTTTCTGTAGCCTGTATAAAATATTATGTCTTTGTCATTTAAGAGATACAAAAATCTAAACAAAGAAATGTCATTTCCCTCTCTGGGTTGAAGAGGAAAACAGAAAACTATACAGAGGTGGCTGTACAGTCAAGTCAGGGATAGGCCACATGCCACCCTCTGGAAAGGGAGTTCCTTGGCAACTTTGGTTGTACTGGATGGTATCCAACCTTCCCCGGGGATTCTTGGTTATGCTTCTTGGGTGAAAACCTCTCTTGAAGAGCCTTTGATGAGAGAGTATGAGTATTGGAGGTCCCTTCCATAAATTGACTACCAGCAGGCTCTCATAGGAATAATTCAGCCAACCAAACACTGCTCAGACTGTTGGGCCAACAAGAGCTTTTTGAACAGTAATGAGAAGTACAGCAATAACTGTTGATATCAGTTCTATCCCTAGATCTAGTTCCCAAGGTGACTTGAGATGTAGACCTATTATGCCTCTCCATTTGACTGAAGATGTGAGCTTGACGAGGGAGTTAAACTGACTTTAGACAAGAAAATATTCATCTAGGTAAATATGAAATGTAGGTGTCTTTTCTGATCAAGCCTATTTTTTTTAACTAGATAGGAAATAGTGGGATACCTAGCAATAGAATTCACAGATTCAGAATCAGAGGATTGGAGAGACAGGGGCTATCATATAACCCTTTCATACCTATAACTTGGTTTTCAGTTTTGATTGCTGAGACCTACCTTGGCAACATAGATATGAAAGAAAAGCTTTCCCCCAGTTAATAATTTAGATCTCACCCAAATCAGGTAGCTAAGCTATCTAATACATGTAGTTTTGGAACTATTTTATCCTATGTTTTTTCCTTAGAACCTTAGCAGATGTCATTCTGCTCATATAGATTCATATTAGTTACCATCAGTAGAATCCACTTCAAAAATTTAACCCATTTCCCATTTTCCCTGAGAATACTCGCTGGCAGCACTTGCGGCTGCAGTGTTTACCCCGAGGTAACTCGCGGATTACAGTCCTAACCTTACTCCCAAAGTTTGCCACGAAATATCTTGCTTTTATTATTTTCGTATCGCTCTAGTATTATTGATAGTCTTCGAAAACAAATGAGATCATTCTATTTATAGCATTCTGTTTTTAGTAGTGGTATTTCTGATTACAAAATATAGTAATTCTCAATTGCTGAAAATGTCAAATCCTAGAAAACATGGCATTTTTCCGCATGATATTAACATCATTCTTGAACAGTTGTTAGCCAGAGAATCATTTGATGAATCTGATTTATGTATACATTTCTGTTACATTAGGATTAAAGGCAAGTTCTGTTTAGAAATAACTCCAAGAACAGTTTTTATATTTTATTTTCACATTGAAAACCAGTCATTCACTTCAGTCTCAAAGAGTATGTTTATGTAAAATTAAATTAACGCTGGCAGCGAGCCACACTTTTTTCTCTAAATGGGAAATGGATTAAAACCGTTTCTTATCCCAACTGCCTGTCTCTCAGGTCTCTGATATAATTGGGACTTCTCTCTCATAAGTAATGTTCTTTTTATCTTTGTCACCTATGTGGTCTCAGTAGTTATCAGTGTGCTCTCTAAAGTGCAGATAATGGGAGACAAATATTCCCACTTCTAGATTAATGGTACAATTCTCAGAGCCTCTTGAGATGCAAAGAGTACTTGGTATGCCTTCAAGTCCAGTGAGCCTGGAGTATAGTGGCACTCAGGAGGGAAGGCAGCTGGACTATAAGGAGTCAAGACTCCTTCCTATCATGATGTAAAACCAAAAGCAGAACCTTTCACCTCTGACCTTGTAGTTCTGGGTTCCATAGTTAGCACAAACTGAATGATTTAAGTGTTTTTCTAACAAAGAAAAAAGTTCGTTTTAGATCTCCTCTTAGGTTCATCTTCAGGGATGAAGCCTAACCCAAACAAAATTTTCTGGATGAGAGCTCTTTCATCCTAGAGACTGAAGGTCATGAGACAATAGCAATAGCATCACTTGGTTATTATTTTCTTTATGACATTTGGCATATACTCTGTGAACTAATATGTAGTTCTTCCCATTGTACTAACAGATTTTTTTTCTCATACAATTAAGAGTATGGCCTTCCTCTGACTCCCCCCCTCCCCCTCCACCCCGCAGATTAGGATAAACCAATTGGGCCAAAAAAGTTGCATTGTTAGTTCCCATACACATTATACCCCAATATACCATAGCCATTAATAGAAAATCTCATTTAGCTTAGCATTAGGGTGACCAGTTGGTCCTGATTTGCCTAGGACTTTCCCAGTGTTAGCACTAAAGTCTTGCGTGCCAGGAAATCCCTCAATCACTGGCAAACCTGGACAGTTGGTCAGCCTACTTAGTAGTCTTATGGTACTTTCTCATAACCTTTCTTAGCATTGATGCAGCTTCTTAAATGACAAATCGTAACAGCCAGTGGGGACTACATGTAGTGATAAAACATTCCGTCCTGGCTGGTTGTCACTAGTTACATTCTGCCTCTTTACTAGTGTTAAGACCCTCTACTTGGTTCCCATGAATATTTCAAAAGCAGGAGTGGAAACCCTGCATGCCCAATCTTTGATGCAGCAGTAAGAGAGAATAGGGTGGGGGGAACAGACCGGGGACACACGTACCCTATTCACTTACTCAACAGGTCAGATTCAATAAGAATCTTTTTGAAAGCTCCTAGTGAGCACACAGGACTAAGGAGTAGAATAGCTTCCAGGGATGATTTGCCTTAAAATGAATGTTAATAAGAAATTAGAATTCCTACAACAGTTTTGATTGGTCATCTTCTGATTCTTGAAAAAGGAACATAAGTTTTTACACTGTGAAAGTCAGTGCTATAAATTGTGTGTGTGTTTACTTTTTATTTCCAGTCCAAGTATGACGAACTTAAAAAATCAGAAAAAGGAAGTAAACAACAACATAAAGTTCACAAGTACATTACATCATGTGAAATCGTGATGGCTCCTGTCCATGAAGCAGTGGTTTCTTTACATGTTTCCAAGGTCTGGGATGATATCAGCCCTCAATTCTATGCCACATTCTGGTCATTGACAATGTATGACCTTGCAGTTCCACACACCAGCTATGAACGGGAAGTCAATAAACTTAAAGTCCAGATGAAAGCAATTGATGACAATCAGGAAATGGTAGGTTTTTGTTCTAGTAGCTCAAGTGCAATAACTTCATAGCATTAATTCAACATTACCCATACTTTCTTAAAGCTACAGTCTTATTGCTATATAGTATTTTCCTAAGTGGATTTAATGGTGATCTCTCAATGGGTAGGGGCAGGCACTTGCCAAGTCGTGGAGGTTTTGATCAATCCAAAGGTATTTGAGTTTGCTTTTCTACTGAGGGCTGTGTTAGCAACTTAAAATGATCTGTGACTCCAACTGCAAGAGCAATAGGCGTTCCCAAAAGAGAGTTCTTTAGAAGAAGGCTTTATTGAAGAGGTGAGTCTTGAGCTGTGTAGGTCTTAAAGATAGATTAAGTTTGAAAATATGGAGGCAAATTGATTTTTACTCTAGAGTTTCAGCAAAGGTGTGAAATTGTCCAAGGTTTAAGGAGATAACTTTTAATATAGCAAATGGGCTTAGTGATAAATTTGGAATGGTTGGGATGTGGCCAGAGTATATAGGGCAATGAATGTTAGAAAAGAGGACTTGATAAAATTGAGAGCAGTTTTGGATTTCTGAGCCAGGGCTTGATAATGATAAAGATAATTTTTTAGAAAGATTATTTGTGGCAGTGGTATGAGGGATCCATTTTATAGGGGAAGGGACTGGCATTAGGCTGGAGATCAGCTAGGCGGCTTTTTGGGTAATTCATTGTGAAGTACTGAGAGCATAGACTATGGTGGGAGTAGTGAGAATACACAAGACTTATAAACAATTGAGATATTGGAATGAAGGAGAAGGAAGAGTCAAAGATGACTCCATGCCTCAGACTTGGAGTACCAGTGTTGCAAGGGTAACCTGTATGAAGATTGGATGACTTTGTCTTGAAATTGTTAAATGAAGGTGAGAGCACATCTCAGTAGACTCCTAAACATCCCTGTTGAAGCAATGAACATAAAATATCAGTATTTATCCCTTTTTGAGATTTTTAATTAAAATAAAGGGAGGTAATGTGCCTGTAGTTAGAAAAGTATCTAACTTATACTTTGTAGCCTCCAAATAAAAAGAAAAAAGAGAAGGAGCGTTGTACTGCTCTTCAGGACAAGCTTCTTGAAGAAGAAAAGAAACAGATGGAACATGTACAGCGAGTTCTACAGAGACTGAAGCTGGAAAAGGACAACTGGCTTTTAGCAAGTAAGTTGGAATTGTTACATTCCTGTGACTGCTAAATTACAAAAGCAAATCTTTTTAGCCTTGGAGGTGTTGAAGTGTATTATGTTTGTATTTCAACTCTGTTCACTCTCCCATTCTTTGGTTATTCATTAAGGCAGAGTCGACTTCACATGTTCATATTTCTGGAGAAATTATAAATACAAAAGTATCCACAGAGTGGAAATGAAAGTCTTATCCCAGGCATGACCTTTTGGTTACAAACTATAAATAGTTTGTGGTTTTATAGCATTCTCTACACTAAAGTTAATATGTTGTCATGTTTAGTAGCCTTGAGGCACTTGAGGAAGAAGTTTACCACTTAATATATTCTTCCCTTATTTTTAGAATCTACCAAAAATGAGACCATCACAAAATTTCTACAGCTGTGTATATTTCCTCGATGTATTTTTTCAGCAATTGATGCTGTTTACTGTGCTCGTTTTGTTGAATTGGTACATCAACAGAAAACTCCAAATTTTTCCACACTTCTTTGCTATGATCGAGTAAGTTCTTTTTATTGCAACCTTTAAAAAAAAATCTCACACAAAGATAGCTAAACATTATAATCTATAGAGGTATTATTGTGTGTGTCGTTAAAAGCATGAACTCAAGAGCCAAGTGCCTGAACTTGAATCCTAGCTCTGCTACTTTCTAGCTACATGATCTTTGGCAAGTTTTTTTAACCTCTCTGTGCCTCAGTTTTCTTATCTATAAAATGGGATGCTAGTACCTGCTTCAGAAGATTGTTGTGAGCATTAAGTGAGTCACTACACACAAAAGCACTTTGAATAGTTCCTGATACATAATAAGCACCCCTTGTTAATTTATTAACTCAACATTTGGGTTTATGTTTGTCATGATAGGTAGAACTCTCTTCTCCATTTTTAATCTTCACCCCCTCATAAACAAAAAAAAGCTTACACCTTCACAAATTCATAAAAGCAGGGTTGCTTTACAATATGGTTACCTTCACAGATTTTTGCCTCTGGCTTTTTTCTTAATAAATTACTGCATTTTGTGGTTTAAAAATGCAATATATGTTACAGCATGCCAGCTGCCTAATTTCTAGTGTCTGTCAGCCTCGCCTCTGCTTACTGTCCCCCTAACCCCAGTAATATCTATGGCTAAGTGTTTGTTAAAGAAGTTATAATGTAATAATAATGATAGTTTTTTTTGTCATTGTAAATCAGCTTTCTTTATAAAAGTTTTTGTTATTGCTTTATGAATGTGCTATTTTTTCACAAACGCTAAAATCTTTAAAGGTCTGTGGAATTGTGACTATAAAAGGAGAAGATACATTTTGACTAAACTTACCTGTTTAATTTATTATGATTTGCTATAACACAATCTTTTTTTAACATTTTGAACTAATTTTGATTTGTTTTTATTTTCCAAACATTTTTTTCCTGTAGGTTTTCTCCGACATAATTTACACAGTTGCAAGCTGTACTGAAAATGAAGCTAGTCGATATGGGAGATTTCTTTGCTGCATGTTAGAGACTGTAACCAGGTGGCACAGTGATAGAGCCACATATGAAAAGGTATGACTAATAAGTAGGCTTATATTTTACCATGCATAATGACCACTTACAGTAATCTCTAGGTTAAAATCTCTAATTTTAAAAGGGAAGCTGAGTTTAAGATTTAGTTGTAAAATGATGTTAAAAATTTAAGCATAATTCATCCATTTTTAAAAAGTGCTATCTCACACTGACAATGTTCCAAATTAGTATCATTGAATAAGTTGAACTTTTCTGTGAAAAGTACCTGTCATTCAAATGTACATCATATTTTTACATGGAATCATTAATCTAGTCTACTTCAATTTCAGCCTCTGCTGTTTTGGGGGACAGAATTTTTCTTTAAAAAGTAACAACCTTTTTTTCTCCCTTAGGAATGTGGAAATTATCCAGGATTCCTTACCATATTAAGAGCAACTGGATTCGATGGTGGAAATAAAGCTGACCAATTAGACTATGAAAATTTTCGACATGTTGTACATAAATGGCATTACAAACTAACCAAGGTAAAAAAATGTATTTCTCAAAGATGTTTTTTTTTTCTTTTCATACTTAGACTTTTATAATAATGGATCTTAAAATGTTTGTTGTAGGCATCAGTGCATTGCCTTGAAACAGGCGAATATACTCACATCAGGAATATCTTGATTGTGTTAACAAAAATACTTCCTTGGTACCCAAAAGTTTTGAATCTGGGTCAGGCTTTGGAAAGAAGAGTGCATAAAATCTGCCAAGAAGAAAAAGAGAAGAGGCCTGATCTCTATGCATTGGCTATGGGGTAACACAATTATACTTTAATGTGATTTATGAGACTAGATGACAGAAGGATTCTGAAGACTTTAAAATGTTTTACAGTGTTGAAGTTTATCTTCTGCCTTACTTCAGGAGATTATGGGAGATTATGCGATCATGTTCCCAAAGGCTGGTGAGAGTTGTCACTTCTGATTAACAGCTTCCAGTCTATACTGGATGACAGTTTCATAAGTCATATATAATATGTCTTGGTTTGGAAAAAATGTAATTTTATCATCGTTGGGTTATCAGATCTTCAGTAGTGAAAAAGTCATATTAGTTTAAGGATTAGTTTACATTGAAATTTTTGTTTGTTTGTTTGTTTATTATTTTTTTAAGCGCCTACAACACCTGGTATTCCTAGATGGTCTCCCATCCAAGTACTAACCAGGCCCGACCCTGCTTAGCTTCCGAGATCAGACGAGATCTAGCACGTTCAGGGTGGCATGGCTGTAGCGAAATTTTTACTTTTAAGAAAGCAAGTAGGGCTCTATAAAGACAAGAACTTACTGAAAATATTTTTTATTCCTTGGAACCAAGTAGTGGAGTGAATAACTTGCTAATTTTATTCTTTTAAATCCCATGTTTGTGCTATTTGATTTGTATTTGTATATTTAAAAACTTTGTGCGACTTTCAGCTACTCTGGGCAGTTGAAAAGTAGAAAGTCATACATGATACCTGAAAATGAGTTTCATCACAAAGACCCCCCTCCGAGGAATGCAGTTGCCAGTGTACAAAATGGGCCTGGTGGTGGGCCTTCTTCATCGTCGATAGGAAGTGCATCTAAATCGGATGAAAGCAGTACTGAGGAGACTGGTATGCTTATTTGTAGAAATTTATAAGTGATACATTTTGTTTCAACAACACTAAAATGTTTTGTATCACATGACAAGTAAAATGCTGGCTTAGTATTACTTTTTTATTCACTAGGTATGAGTTTATAACTGTGAAGAAGTAATCAATTCTTTGTTTCTTTCTAATTAATCTCTAATCCTTTTGCTGTGAAATTGTAGTTTACTTACATTTAGGGGCTTGCCAAATAAAACTTTACCTTTATTTCAGATAAATCAAGGGAGAGATCTCAGTGTGGTGTGAAAGGTGTTAATAAAGCTTCTAGTGCCACACCGAAAGGGAATTCAAGCAATGGAAATAGTGGCTCTAACAGGTAGGAACACTGTGCTTGCTATATGTCAAAATTCTGAATTCTTATATGACTAATCTCTTTAGACATGAATGGAAAAGAGGGTAGTAGTTGAATACTATGGAAGTCATTTATGTTGGACTTTGACCTTTTGATGATGTTCTTACCATCCTCATTATGTTTTGTATAATGTTGAGACTGACTTTGTTTCCCTTGCTGGGATACTTAGGGAAAGGTAGGTGGCGAAATTGAAAAAAAAAACATTTCAAGATTGAGTGTTTGCTGTGGACAATCTGGATAAAGATAATCAACATAAGAAAAGCCTATACTGATTTAGATCAGTGATCCTGCCAGCCAAGTCATTCAGTTCCTGATAGTAGCGCCCTTGGTTGGTTTGTGGGATAATTTTTGGTTGTTACCTTGTAGTCCTCATAGGTTATGAATGTATACAAAAGAAGGGGCTGGCATCACTTTGATCATTCTTTTTAATCTGCTATTCATTAATTTGGTTATTATTTACTTGACAAGTACTTCCTTTTTACTTGTCTAAAAGTTGCCCTTTAGTTTTCAAAGGGCATTCTTAGTTCTGTAATTTTTGAAGTCAATAAGAAACCCTTAATAATTTAAAACATGAAATATATTTTATGACTGTCTAAAAATCTTATATTTTTATTTTTAAATAGCAAAACTGTTAAAGAAAATGACAAGGAAAAAGGGAAGGAGAAAGAAAAAGATAAAAAAGAAAAGACTCCAGCTACTACTCCAGAGGCCAGGGTACTTGGTAAAGATGGTAAAGAAAAACCAAAAGAAGAGCGGCCAAATAAAGATGAAAAAGCAAGAGAGACGAAGGAAAGAACACCTAAGTCTGACAAAGAGAAAGAAAAATTGAAGAAGGAAGAAAAAGCTAAAGATGAGAAATTTAAGACCACTGTCCCTAATGTAGAATCAAAATCGACTCAAGAAAAGGAAAGAGAGAAGGAGCCATCCAGAGAAAGAGATATAGCAAAGGAAATGAAATCAAAGGAAAATGTTAAAGGAGGAGAAAAAACACCAGTTTCTGGGTCCTTGAAGTCACCTGTTCCCCGATCAGATATTGCTGAGCCTGAAAGGGGTAAATTTACCTTTACTTATATTTGTTTACCTTTGGTTGTCGTATAGTTGATTTTTGTCTCCTTGTTTTGGCAAATTACCTAGGGACTTCACTGAGGGCAACTAACACTTGATGACTTTAAAAGTTGGTGATTTTTTTTTGAAGTGTTTGGAAAAAGTGGAACTATACAATATTGTGACTATTTCTTTTTGTCCCAACAGAACAAAAACGCCGCAAAATTGATACCCACCCTTCTCCATCACATTCCTCAACAGTAAAGGTTAGTATAGCCTGACGAAGGCAGCGTCCATGTTAGGCTCACCTGTTTGGAATACGTGTCCTGACTTCCTTCAAGTCTTGTGCCAAGTATTCACTGGAGCCACTGGAGGTTTTATGTTACATTAGAAAATGAATTTTTTACATATTGGTGGACTGATATTTTTTTTTCCTGTTGAGTATTTTTGTAATAAAAATGTTAAAACTTCAAGGACCTAGCACTAATTTTGTAGTGTTTGAAAGTACAAGGAAATTTTACCCAGAAGTGCCTCACTGCTTTAAGCAGTCTTTTTGGAGTGCAATGGTGGCTACAAGCAAATGAATCTTTTCAGCAGAATGAAGCTTATTTTTCAGCATAAATAATGAAGAATATATAGCACTGAAGACTTCCTGGATGATACAGGATAAACAAGATACCTCTGAATTCATCAAGCTTCTTGATGAGCATCATACCGATGTGTGCCTTCTAAGAAGGAGTCTTGAAAGGAGTTCCATTTTAAAGTCTCCTTGGTGATCAGTTCTCCTGTAGTTGTGTATATTCAGTGAGCATGCAGCTTCTGTTGTATCTTCCCTTGGAGGTTTGTTTATACCCATTGGGTTCCCAACAAGTTGAACCTTGCGTTACGATAAAAGCAGATGTGGCATCCAATCCTACCACCCAGCAAAGAGAAACCCCAGGCATTCAACTGCAGCACAAAATCGTGGGTGTAGCCTTCTTGAAGACTCAGGGTAGCCATTCCTTGCTCCATATTTAATTTTAATTCTAAAGTCATCTAATTTCATGGAATCTTTGAATTTGCAGTACGTTGAACTTTTAAAACTGTAAGTTAACTAATTCTTCATCAAGAGCACTGTGGTGGAATACCATAATTGATTTCTTTTTCTTTTAAGTGATTTTGTGTGTGAGGATTAAATGAGCCGATACAAGTGCTTAGCTTAGTGATCAACACATAGCAAATGCTCAGTGTGTGTGTGTGTGTGTGTGTGTGTGTGTGTGTGTGTAGGGGGGTATGAGATTCACCATCAGAGGCACTTTCCACAAAAAAAAGTGATTACTCTTTTATAGAATACATTTTGTTGTTATTATAATGCCACTGAATTTTCTAGCTAACATAAAAATGTATATGTTAGAGTCACAGTAAAGTAAAAATCCAAACTTCCCTATTAAAGAAAAACTATGAAAATATAAGACAGTGTTCTTCCACAGTGACCTCCATTAATTTAAACTTTTTGTGGAGAAAAAAATGTTTTAATTTTTTTAAGCCTCTTAACATTACCTGTAGCTTAAGTACAGTGTAATGAAAAATGTGGCATTGACATTTATTTTTAAATTCTGAGCATAGAAAGATTTTTATTTGTTACATTGAGTACATATAATTTAGTTTTTTTAACATTACAATTCCATTACATGGTTTTGCTTTTGTTTTTTATTGTTGATATTCATATAATAATGACATCACGAGATTTATCCTCACAAGAAGTAGCTGGTTTATTTCCAGGTTACAGCCATACTTTCCAAAGTTCCTCTGGGTTCTGAGAACTATGCCAGCTCACCTGTCATCTCCATTCATTTTCTACAGGACAGTCTCATCGAACTCAAGGAGTCTTCAGCAAAGGTTTGAGTCTTTTAAAATCATCATGCCTAAGTAAAGCAAAATTCCTTACCTCATATATTTAGTAGATACTTTTGCCCTAGTAAATTCAGTAAGCTAGTAGAATAATCTTTAAAAACACCTCTCACAAACTGAAACAATGGATGACAATGGTCACTTTTAATGAGATTGTTATAAAATGTGCATAATGTAGCAACATTTCTATAATCTCTCCTTGCCTGCTGTGTTATGAATTATCCTTTTATGCTTCAAAATCTGGAAATAAATTTAAGGTTTGGGGAAGGCATTGTTGATTTGTTTTGGGGAGTAGGCTTATTTAATTTCTTTAAACAAATTTGTCAGGCTGTTTCCTGACTTTTTTAGACAACCTGAAAGACCAAAAACTAAATTTGATGCGTTCACATAACTATTCTAAAAACTGAGCCCATCTCAATCCATAAGATTATTTACATTGCCTCTGCTGAGCTACCTTTTTGGTAGTTGTAGCATAATATCAAGAAATGTGGTTAATGTAAACTAGTCATTTTCCTGGAGGGGAATACTCAACTCGATGGTTGTGTTTATATGTCAGTATTAATTCTTGCCTATTACTCAACTTTCTTGAGTATTCTGCTGCTAAAATAATGTGTAGTTTGTGTATCTTATTATAGAGTTCATTTCATTATTATAGTTAAATTGTCCATTGTTCATGTTATTTTGTCTTTATTATTATAAAACTTGTATCCTCCTTTACTTCCATTTTCTACTTTGCCTCTTCTTATATCTGCTAAATATGATTCTTTTCCTGATGGACCAATACAAAATGAAATTTTGAAACAAAGCCAGTTGACATTACTAACCGCTTTTAGATCTGTAGCTTTAAAATGAAATGTCTGTGGATATTGGGCAAATAACCATTAATTTTTAATAATTTAGAGTAGCCAATGTGCCTGTGTCCTGAAATTGTAGCATTGTTTTCAGAATATGCTGTATTAATCAAGAGTATCAGTTGTACTGTCAATGCTTTCTTTTAAAGTAAAACTTTTTATTGGCTAAGTTAAACATGTATTGCAGTATAGTAGGTTTTCATAACCAGTTTGGGATTGTGTATGTCAGTCTTAACCATCAGTGGCTTGTGTGGGCTATTTTAAGTTCTGGATTAACAATGTTACCTTGTATTTATTTCCTGAAACATACTTTGAAGCAGTTTGACACTTGCTGTTACAGTTAACCGGATTTTCTAATCAATGATGAAGATTATGGTTCCTTATATTTGTAAAAGCCTTGTGAAAATAACACATATGTGAGAGAAACATATGTTATTTCATGCTCAGTATGGTGCTGAGAGGTAGATAGGGCAGGTGGTAGCATCTTTTTGACAAAGAAAAGACTAAAAAAAATTCATAATTCCTTCCCAGTGGCATCTAACTTGTCACTATCAAAATTTGGACTACAAGTAAGGTTCCTCAAGTGTTTTTACAACAATGAATTACAATGAATTACAAGGAAAGAAATTATAGTTCCGTGATTCTTAGCACCTATTTCAACAGTAGTTGACAAGGTTCCTAAGTCTTTTAGTGTGTTTATCTTTCTTTTTTAAAAAATTATAATGATTCAATCTTCCTACTCCCGCCCTTTAAAAAAAGATGGTGACTTCTTAAGAATTTAAAATTCAATAGATTTATTCCACATTCAACCAGAAAATTTTGAAAAATGGCATATGAATACACTTCTAAAAATTATGTGACTCAAACCACTTTTCAGATCCTTAGTGCTTGTATGATATCTGGCAATATTATTTGGCATTCAGTAAATACTTGAAATTAATTCTTAGGCCTTTGGACTTTGGTAAAGCATCCAAAGTTTACTGGTCTGCATAGTTGATGTTGCATTTTTATGTTTCTAGGAAATTTTAATAGTATGTGAATATCTTAGAAAAAATTTTATTGGACTTTGATCTCTAAAATTGATCTTTATATACATTCACTGCTCTTGAGGTAGCTTTTACTTTTTAGAGGACTTGAAAGACGTGTGTCTACTTTTTCTTGTTGTCTTGTCACTCTTAAATATACAGTTGTTACCCTGCCCTTACATGTAAAGTTATGCCCTGGGATTTTTTTTTCTTTTTAATTATTATTAAATTACTTACTATTTTCACTTTCTAATTCATAGTAAAATGTAATGCATGGACTTGGCTTTTCAAGTAGGATTAGTTAAAGAGAAAAAAATCTAGCTTAGTATCTAAATATTTTTTCAGTTCACCTTCCACCCCCAATTTGCGATTGGCATATTTCCAGTTTTGGTCAGTTGTGTTTTTATCCTGCAATCCTACCAGCTACATCTGATGAAGAATGTGTGAAAAGCACGCTCCTTTAACCTAGCTTCTCTGTAATTTAGGAGGGCAGCAGTAACCACCACAAAAGAGAATGCTGCTTTTAATTCTGCTCGCCATCTTAAAACAAGGATTTACAACCAAACCCAAGCCTACAAGTGAGGCCATCTTTATATATTGTAGCTTTAATAAGTAAAATGTAGCAGTGTTCTCTTAAACAAATTTTGAAAATCAATCAAATTGTTTTTTGGACCTAATGATTCCAGTGTCAAAAATAAAAGCAAATCAGAAACAAAATTCAACAACACTACATGCAGATCAGTTTAACAAATCATTGATTTTATTTGGCAGACATGTATTGAGTATTCACTATGTGTGTACAAGATACTAGTAAGTGTGTAAAAGTTGAAAAGGCACATTAGCTCCTCTACCATACTGGAAACTATGTTATAGATGAAAATAAATGACATAAAATTAATGGAAAAAAGTGAAAATAAAATAGGTTCACTGGAAAGTGAGTTGCAGAGTTGAGAGACAGTTGAACTGCTGATGACTTTTGAGCCATCTTTGAAGGCTAAGTAGGCTTTTAACAGATTAAGGTAAAAGCGAGCATCCATTCTGGTGAAGAGCTTTGGGAAGGACAGGGTATTAGGGAGCAGTTGTAGCTACAGCATAGAGTGCATTGGGTTGTTCCATGGTAGGATATAATCCTGTGAAGATTGTGAAGAGCTTGGAATACCTAAGCTAAGGAGTATGCATTTTATTCTATACGTAATGAAAGACTATCGTGATCAGAACTATTCTTAGAAAGGTAGAAAGAAGGAATAGAATTGAGTGCATTTCTAAACTAAGAATTTCTAGGTTTCTCAATTCCTTACAATGCAGAATTTAAGTTAGGCACAGTTAAAAACATTCTTGGGTGTGTGTGTGGGGTGTGTGTGTGTGTGTGGTGTGTGTGTGTGTGTGCGTGCGCGCACGCGCGCACTACATGCTTATTTGTAACCACAAACTTTTTTTTTTTTGCTTTTATTGGGAAAATTAAGCAATACTTGAAGTCGTCTTTGAGTGTTGCAGTAATATTTATCAGTTTTATGAATAATATCGACATGAATAGAAAATCTTGAAATGTCTTTCAGGGTATTATACCCAGCAAGGATACCTTTTGGACAAGCACTTTTATGACTGTTTCTCATTCTCTTGCTCTTTGTTATTAATGAACATTTTGTCTATTTCAGTTGACCATCAACTTTTAAACATTTAAAAAAAATCTACTTCTGCACTGCTATGGCAGTATTTCTGAGCCAGCTGAATTGAAAATAATTGGTGTTGTTAAAAAATAAGTGTTTAATTCTCAAATTGATGCTTGTCTTTTTTCACTTACTCCTTTGAATACCAAAGGATTTCCTTGTGTAAAAAGATTTGACTTTTGACTATTCTTTTCATTCCTAAGGTATAGCTAGAATTGCGTAGTTATGTAACAAGTTATATTCAGTATTCTGCTGCCTGATACTTTTAATGTCTTAAACATAAGCTTGTAGCACAGTTGTAAATGCTATAAGGTTAAGTATCTGATTTCCTTAATATTTACTTTTATAATGGATTTTCATATTTACACCTTGCATAAGTAAGGTATCTCTTATTTAGAGTTAGGAAATCCTTGATCTTTGGCAGTTTTATTGCCAGTGGACCTTTGGTAGAGAAAGAATAGGCAGAGGAGAACATCAGTTCATCATTTTTCAGTCTTTGAGTTGTTTCATCATCCTCAGCTGACCGTATGATTTTCTGAGTTATTTAGAACTAGTAGGACAAATTTCACAGTAGTGATTATTTGATAGAAATTGCAGTGCTTTCAGAAGTAGAGAATATGCAGCCTTTACATTTGTAAAAATAATTTATAGGATAATCTATACATGGTATATACTGAGGGAGAAAAGACTGATCAGTCAGTCATGGCTAGGCTTTATACTTTAGCTCACTGTCATTGATTACCTATCAGTAGATGCTAAAACTATTTAAAATTTCCATGATTATAGAGAGGTTTATTTTTATTTTTTTACAGTAGAGAAAGTCCAGCAACTATTTTTCATGTATGGACTCTTGTAATGGTGGTTATAAGTCCTCACAATAGAACTATAAAA